TGAATCACCCTGTATGTGTCAAAACAAAAGTTTTTGACGAGACATTTTAGGTATAAAAAAAATCTTGAGACAGGTCCACTGTGTTTTTTAATTGCCCTTACTTTCCATTATAATTTTTTTAACAATAGAATATATCACCCTCGATATCACCTATTTTTTAAATGGAACATGATGCCCCTTTTGTTCTTTGAGACATCATTTGAGTACCTACTACTACTAAATACAAAAAATGCAAAACATTATGCCAACAAAAAAGGCATGTCCCATTTAAAAAATTGTCAACGGGGGGTAATATCTCAGAGCATAATGAGACAAAAAAGTAAATTACATATACAGGGTGTTAGAACTCGCGCCCCAGCGAAAAATTTCAAGTAAGATAAGATACCAAGAACATGGAAAAAAATGCTTAAAAAATCTGTGAAAAAATTTTGACATTTATTTTTTGACATTGGATATTTTTTTAACTCTATTTAATGACACTGAGATCTTGTATATGTTTTTTTTTTATATTGACTTTTGTAAAGGTACAAAAATTTTGCCAATAAAAACCACAAATAACTTTAAACATATAGCTACAATTTAGGATACAGCTTCCTTGTTTCCTCTTCTAACAGCCTGTAGCAGAAAAACTAGGAAAATTATTTTTCTAACAGAGATAAATACCTAGTCAAGGTGTAAAATTTTAACTCTCGTAACTCTCATAATTTTTATAGATAGAATTTTTTAATATTTTTTCCATGTTTCTGGTATCGTACCTACCTTACATTTTTCTCTGGGGCGCAAGTTCTGGCGCATCTGTATATAAAAAAAACAACCATAGTTAAAAATCGAAATCAGCCTGCCCAAGAGTTAATTTTAAAATAATAATTAATAAATATCCCACTAAATAGACATGAATCTTGGATACGTATTCCCGACTTTTGCCACTCACGGTATATTTATTTAATTGTGCAAGAATATTTTATGTCAGATTAAACCCTTTAGTCTTTAGTTTCATAAACAAAAATTAATAGAATAAGATACAATTCAATTCACAAAGCTTCCGTTCTTTCATGGTGCAATTTTTTGATTTTATTTTGAGCACTGCTTACAAAACATAAGACAGTTTTTCACTATAACTAAGAATTTTCTACTGAAGAAAATAAAAAAAAATAAAAAAAGTATATAATAATTAAAGAAAATTCTTGGTTTAAGCTCTGCTCTTATGTATTTTTGGCAGTCAATTTCAAAAAACAACGGTTTGTCTCATCATGCAGAGAATTATTCGCTAAAGAAAAAATAACAGAAAATATAGTAAATCTATGTAATTGAATGCAAACCATGCACTGTGGCTTTCTACATTTTTTTACAAATATATATTCTTTTAACTTTAACATGAGCTGTAAGGATGCTTAGAGGGCTTGAGACCTCCAAAAAAGTGATAAAAACGGTAAATATTCTCTAAAAGTTTTCTGTTATGTCCAGCCCTTATTGAATTATAGTGCATGGGGACGTTTTCTTTGGCATTTTATACTTGTTTTCAAACTCTGTCCTTTGTTTTTCGCATTTTAAGGTAGTGTTTTTTTTTTAAATAGTCTGATATGAGAAGATACACCCTACGTGACTTGTGTAAAACTGGTACGTGATCGTTTTTTTTCTCAAAAATACAGTTGATTGAATGATGGATTAAAGCACCACAAAAACATTTCTTTCAGTAAATAATTTGTTAATTAGAATATTTTTTATGATTTGTACTGTGTGAAAAATGGGGATGCCAGAATGTTGACAGGGGGCATTGTATTGGTATTTGATAGAAAAGTAAAGTGACATTGTATTACAGTTAGTATTTCGTTTAACAGTTATTTGCTCTTTTGTAGTCATCTTTGCTTAAACATACATAGTTAGCGTTTAAATAATAGTAAAAAAAAACTCTCCGGAATATTCATATGTATTCCAAACGATGCCGCTCTTAGATTTAGATAAATACACACAACAAATGTTTGTTAAATATTTCTTCGAAGCCGCATTTCCTTTGTTTGAACATGTACCACAAGTATAAGAAGTAAACCGATGTATTTCTACGATTCCATTTTCTCATCACCTGCTGTTTTAAAAAAGAAGTATAAACCGTCCTTGCCTTTAGTACAAAACATGCCGGTCCGTATATACGACACAAATAAACACATTTGTACAAGATTTCACTGACTTTGTTCGCCAGCACGCACTCGCTTAATCTAATACATTCCGTGACCGACAAAGATGGACAAACTCACGTCTTTCCAATTTTACATGATCACATAATAAACATCATTTATCTTCACATCATGTTTATTTGTTTATTATAAACTGACGTCAGTTGTTTATTCAACATGACAGAATTAGAAATATTGGAAGGTTATTATTTTCGTATATGTGTAGCAACTCATTTTTCAAGACCAACTATTTTTTAAGAAAAACATCAACATTCTTTTAATTAAATATCCTGCTTACTGAGAAAAATTACACCAACGCCACGCTTTTTAATTTGCTGATACTGCAGTGAGCAGATAAGGATTTATCCTAAAATTTAGACACTGCAGTATCAAAAATCAGATATTGAGGGCAGCTTTCAACAAATATTGCCACTTAACTAATTTTTCTTAAAAACACATTTTTAAAACCATACCATTTATAGCAAATAAAACATGTAGATAAATATACTGACACCGACAAATAAAAAATTAAAATATCTAGTCTACTTTGTTCTAGTTTTTGCAAGAAATCAGATCTCTGAGAGCTGATAACTAGAATTATGATTCTATTCAAGTAAACTAAAAATATACATATAGTGCGCTCAAAAAGTCGCACAGATTACAAGAAGTCTTGTAAAAATTCTTTTCTTTTTGTTAATTTTCTGTTCACATTATTTTTTTAGGTTTCCATTTTTACTATAAGTAATCGTTTCATCATAGTATACCAATGATGGATAATTGTTTTTGTATTTACTGTCATTCTCTAACACAACATTTGAATTTTGAAAAAAAATATAATTTAGCAAAAAATTACCATTTGTAGTTATGCCAACATCGTGTTCACAACATAACAATTACAACATAAACGGGCTTATAGAAAAGCAAAAGAAAATTAACAATTTTTTTTGTGTAGTTGTGGCTGTAATTAATTGGGCAATGAGGGATATTACGAAGTATAATAACATAATACGGTTTTAACGAATTTAACTTAGGTTCTCTTCAAAAAAAAAAATAATAATGCATAATTCTCTTTTTTAGTGTTATACCTTCACTCTAACATGTATTCGTTTTAAAAAATATATAAATTGTATGTTAATTGGTTTTAATATTTTTTTAATAATAATTTACAAAGCAACATAATTTTTCAACTTTTATACCTTCTTACTTAGACAGATGTTTAGGAGCGAAAGAATACACTGACTTCCGACGTACAGTATTTTTGTGTAGTGACTTAAATCTCGGATTAAGTCATGTCCAATACCCTTGATGTTAACTGTCATCAGCAGACTTTTACTGAGGTTTCAAAAATAATTAATTTTTATTTTTGATCAAATAATAATATTGTGATTGTCAAACATTTATTTCAAATTCGTTCAAATTTCAAATTCGTTATTTGTCAATAACTTTGGTGTGTTTTATTTAATTTTTAGCCTTATATGCATTTCTTTATCAGCTTTCATTGGCAGTCTTTTTAAAATTAAACATAACAAAAATATAAAAACGCACTGTACATTAATTAACAGTAAATATTGAAGAGTTTGGAACATCATGCCTATTTATGTGATAACAGTCTCTATTTGCAATATTTGTTACTTCACACAGATATTATGTGAGATAATATATGTAATTTGTTGTAAATTATGATTGAAGATAAAATATATCCAAGTGCGATATCTATTTTTAAACAATTGGGTTAGTGATTTTACGTCAGCTAAAGAGTCAGTCTTATTGTAGCTAAATTTAACAAACTAAACAAGAAAAAGGCAATTTTAATTCTTTGAGACAGTTAGCTTCTTCTAAAAAATAAGACGAAAAACAAATTTATCAAATCACAAAGATGCCGATTCAGTTTTTGATAAATATCTAGAAGTGTTTACATCCCGTATTACAGCATTCGGGAGATTACTTCTTTTTCCTCGCCTGAATAAGGCTTATTTGACAATGAATTGAAACTTGAAATGACTCTTGACTATTGTTTACTAGAAATTATTAAAAATTAACAAACAAACAATTGCAGGTATATCTACTGATAAAACTATTATATTTATATTTTATTTATAAAATATGTGACTATTTATACATTGATAAATTGACAGTTACGTTTAAATTTAGGCTTATTTAGGTGTGTTAATTTTGGCACATGTAGTCCAAGTATAAGTGATAAATAAATAGTTATGTGATATAAGACCTTAATCGTTGTATGCTTTACAGAATATTTGTATTTTGTAATTGTTTCTTCTTTGATAAATATTTATAAACAATTGAAGGTCGCAAACAAAATGATAAGAACAGTTTGTTTTTATGTATTCTAACCTTTACGTAGTAATTTATTTATCAAAAAGATATCTAAAACTCCATATAAGCGTTTTTGTCGTAATAAGTTTAAAATAATAGTTTATTATAGCGAAATATTTTCGGTTAAAGTACGAAATGAATAATTATTAAGAAGAAATAAGAACTAAGTAATTTTATTTACAAAAAAGTTGTTGTAAAACTAATAGCAATAAATTTTGAGAAACTGTAAAATCGGGTATGAAAACCAATAGCCTGAGGTTCCTTCAAATATGCGCGTCGTGAATTCGCCCCTTGTTTGTTGTTTACACCATAATAGTATCATAATAAGTTCGACGTTCAGGAGCAAGAAGACAAGCCTTGTTTGTGTCTCAGATTAAAAATATGAGGGGGAAGTTATTACATACCTACTGATGCTTGCTTACACACAGATTGTCAGTTCATCGCATAGAATAAAATTTGAGAAATTTGTAATTTTCTAATCACGTTAGGACTTACACAGTATCTAGAATGCCTGATTGCGGTAGACCAAGGACTGGTAGCGGCAGAAAAATGATTTTTACTCCAGCCAACGGCACTTTCAAAAGGAACGTCTCCGATGTGGCCCTGTAAAAAACAAAAATAAAAATGGCGAGATATTTGCAGTGATGGAAATGAAACGAAGTCTTTTCAGTTTTTAGCAGGTGGTGCAAACCGCAGAAGGAAAAGAAACGCGAAAAACAGGATAGTCATTCATCAACAACAAAAAAGTGAATTATTTAACCAAGTCAAAACGAAGAAAATTTGCACAAGCGTGCAGTTTATTTGATGAAGAGTCGAGTTATGGCGTGAAAAGGAAGAGCAAAACAATCTAAATGCGAGAAAAATAAAGCGAGCCGCAAACTTAAAGGTTTATATTTTATAATGGTGGAGTCGGAGAGAAGGAAATTTATACGGGACATTGCGTTTAGTTGAAAAAGATATTATAATTTCATTTGCCGCCTGTTCCTACTATAAAACATCGCCGACTCCTTCCCGTATAGTTCCGGATTGTCCGGTTAGAGGCACACTGATATCGGCTATTGTTCAAATTAGCGGACTAAAAACAGAGGAAGCGTAGACAGTAAGATTGGATTATTCAGACGCGTCCCTTCCTGTTCTCTTTAATTTACGGCAACGATTTTAAAGATGCGTATGCAGCGATATTGCGAATTTTTACTGATTGCATGCGCATCACCACCAAACAATTGTCACCACAATATATTTTTCTTTAAATAATTGCAACAGACTTGGATGCGATAAAGCGATAAAAGAGTACTTGCAAGACTTGCAATTGCTTTATTGTAAGTCGCAAACGTGTTATCCGCTAAAATAAAGAAAGTACACCTGTAACAACAAAAACAGAAGCACCACAACACCCACAACTGACTCAGCTGTGAAAATGCTGAATAAATTTAAAATATTTTAATCGCCACCTTTGTGTTTATTGCAGAATTATTATGATTTCTGTTATCTTTTTAACAATTTTTGATTCACTTGTAGATTACAATGATTCAACACCTGCAGGAAACTCGTGCTATCCTGCCAAATTCTTGTTATTTCTGACATTCTTTCGAAAAATACTTCCAATAGCTACCAAATTGAAGATTACAAAACAATTCCACATAAGCAAGTGTTTTCGATTTTAGCACTCCAAAACCGCTGCTGCGGTCTGAAAACAACATTTTCAGGGGTTAAGCAAGAAAAAACGCGTCAAATAAATGAAATAATTGTTCTAGCGTAACTAACATTTATTCCGAATCGGAGACCGCATCTCATTACGAGTTGGGTTGCTGAGTTTGCACGAATCTCTTCTATTGTGGAAACGGCGAGTTCCCTTCGCACTTAATCGGAAAAAGGGCTTTTGATCAAAAAACGTTAATATTTTTTGTTCATCAGAGGAAATTAAGAAGAGATCAAGAAGTGACCAACAACTTTACCAACTTCCGGCGCTCGAATCCTGAAACTTTAGTTGACATTCAAGGTCATTAGGGTCCCTAATCCCCCTCGTAATAGGAATATAAAGACGAATATCGTTGACTGCTTTTAACTGTTTTACTTTTTCAAACCCACCAAGCTCGGGGGAAACAAAAACTTCCTTCACAAAATAAATAATAAAAAAAGTGTTAAGTTAAGGGACTAATTTTCTGATATGTATTGTGAGAAATGCCAAAGCTTTTGATGGCCACTGCACCAGTGGTGTTAAATTCGAATGAATAAAGAGGGTAGCTCTTGCACAACATAATATACGTAACTCGGTCACGACATTAATTTTGCCATCGACTATACATAAATCCGAAAAAAGTATTCATCAACTCCCGCCCCGCTCTGCTAAAATAGTAGCCGGTATTATCGTGGCTCTGACATTATTATGAACAATAAATGGGACCACAATTTGAATACAGCTGTCATACCATCATTATCACATTAATTATGCGACAAGATCGACGTTACTTTTCTCAAATACAGATGGTATTAATTGAATTCATGGTCAAATAAATTCTACTTTGCGAAATCAAATACAATTTCCACAGAATTATTTCGAAAAGTTGAAATAACGAGATATATTTTTGCATATTTATACAACCAACGCAATTGCTTACTCTTAATATTTACTTTATTTCACACGATACATCTAAGCAAAAATCTACTTCGTAAACGAATCTGTTTTCTTTCATATGCATAATGTAAACTATTTTTTTGAAGATATTTGTAGACTATTATATGGGAAAATCAAAATAAACAGCGATTTTTTAAATAATTTTCGTTATAAATCACAGCAAATTACATAATTCTAACAACATGCAACAATTAACGATATTATGGACAACCAGGTGGTGATTTATATGTAAACAGTCTACTTTCGATGAGCGTTTTAGCACTTCCCCTAGTCAAGTTCTGTTCTTTAAAAGCATATTTTGTACTAATAGGGACTGTAGAAGTAGAAAAAAAAACAAAGGAATACTATTTCGAATTTCGATAAAGTGATTTAAACTGTGAGGTTGCTCACGCCAGATGTAAGTACCATATATTTACTTAAGCGGCTTGGGCAGGGCGAAGAGACCTCATCTGACGATTGCTATAATTCGTTTCTGATAAATATTCGAACAATAAACAACATTAAGTCGCCACATGAGTCCCCAAATGGCTCTATAAATCCAAAATATTGTATATTTCGACACTAACAACAACACCATAATAAAAATATTCAATAGTATTAGAAAGTACAAACAAAATTAATAATTGATTTCACTAAAATAAATTTATTATAGTAATTATAGCAATAGTTGATTTAGTCCAGTGTATACCTTGTTTTAATCCAGAATAGGTAAAAAAATGAATACTGAAAGTATTTGTTTGAAAATATCACATTTCACTTGCACTGAGTTTTTAAAAATCGTCATCATTCACATCATTTCACCGAGTTACGTAAGAGCACGAAGCGGGAATTTTGAAAAGTGAGGTTAGGAATAAATGAATAACTGTTATATAGTAACCGACTTCGACGTGGAAGCAATTCTAGTCGAGAACATACTGAGTATAGGCACACGTTCGTGCGGCACATAATGTTGTTTACTGTTTACATGTCTGCTTCGCCTCGCCCGTATGAGAGATGTTGTTTACTCAGTTATATTTAGAGTTTAGAGAAATGCAAAAGCAAACCAACTACACCTGCCTCGACTGGAGATTCCACAGGGGCGGATTACACTCACATTTCACGTCCACATTGTTTTACTTACATCTATCTCGTTACATATAGACGCACCGATTAATCGATCACTCCTTTTTCGAAAATTACAAATGACACTCATCCCAACTATACATGCTGTTAACACAATAAAACTGGTAATCATAAAAACATGACATGAATCCTCTTATCTCGATTTTTGTAAAATAAACAAACAAATAATAGAATAATACACACATTTTTACACGAGTTTATTTACAAGGACTCAGATCTAATCTCATACAGTACACACAAAGTTATTAAAACAGTGAATCGTCTATTTTGGCACAGCTTCAAGCGCACAAATTTTTGCATCGTATCTTTTCAAAACGACCGATATTTTTTAGCAGCAAGGTGATATCTCACCAATTTAATGCAAAAATTATGGATTTTGTCTCATGTATGTACATTTAGTTAGCCTTGTGTGTGTCAAAAGAATGCAGATATGTAATAATTCAATAAAAAAGGAAGGAGCTGGAATTGTGTGTTCCGTTCGTCTTAAAGTTTATGAAGGTTTTTAGGTGAATATATAATTTTGGCAAAACGCTTCTTTACTATTTCTCGGGATGATCGGAAGTCAATAAGAGACAGAGAAGTACCAATAACTGGGACAGAAAGAGACACTCGTCGCGGAAAAGGTAGTATATAAAGTAGCCAAGTTAAAATGGTGTGGGGGAAATCAAAAGAAGTGCCAACCCCAGCGTATTTTAGCATTCCCCTCGCGAGCTGTCCGTCTCGCTTTCTCGCCCAACGCAATCGTTACGACCTCCTACTCTCCGAGTCGAGAAGATATTATTTCTTATTTCAAGTCACATTCGAGTAAGTAGGTGGCACAAATTAGGTTCTTGGCAACTTTTGCATCTCAGCGATGTGACATGCAACGATAGGTTTTATTGACAAAATCAACGTGCGAGAAGAATACGGAATTGCGGTTGAAAAGGTGTAAATCAAAAGTTGACAAACATAGTCCCTAGCTGATGAACGCATTCATGTGATCTGACAAGGAGGTTCTTATGCTGACCCTTGGGACGGTCATCCGTCCAACATCCCAATCGTTACACTAGGTAACTGTGAACGCGATTTCAAAAAAGTGTATTTTACGACCCAGTGATTGAATGCAATCCACAACGCACCGGATCAATCAATCCAAAATGCTTCCGGGTGATATCGAATACCACATCATTAGTCAAAGATATGTATAAACTGACACTTGTGATTTATAATAAAACACCTACATATTTAAAGTAATGACTCTTTTATGTACTTATCGAAACTGGAAAACTCGTTAGAGGTGTAAAATTTGAATGGAATTAAACTGGAATTGTGGGGTTCGCCCCATATGGCGTTAAGAACGACGAGTGAAGGTGGAAGGGCCCAGGTTAGACCTCTGTTTGCCAAGAAACAGTATGACAAGTCAGCAAACTTAAAGCTAACTTGACTTTAACAACAGTCAAGTGGTTAGTTAGTAATGTAAAAGTACAAATACAACGGCAAGTCTCTAGAGTTTAGATCGTAAGGTACACTCACACATTGTTCGCATGGACTGAGACGAAGAACCGCCTAGCGTCACGACGCCTTTAAAGTATAATGCGAGAGAGAAAGAGGGAAACCTCCACGTACAGTTCTTTACACCGAACCACATACTTGAACACAAGTTTTCCTAAGTTTTGGACTCGTGCAAGTAAACGTCTTTCAATATACATGTCTGTAATTTAGACGATGGCTATAACCCGCTCGTTCTAGGGAGAGATCGGAGAAGTTGTGAGCTGATTGTTCCCTTAGGCTTGAGCTAATTGTGTAGTAATAGCAAGAGGTAACTCAGTGTAGACCTAAGATGTAGAATAAGGGTTACATTGTTCAGGTAGAAAATATCATAAATCGAACGTCAATCACACTGCATCAGCGGCCAACAATGAATTTCACAAAAACGACAACTAAAATGTCGTTTAATTTTATAAAATATGAACGCCGCTTAAGCGGAAGATTGCAGTAACCCGGTCTTGAATTCCGGATCCCTGACTATATACACAAATGACACGGCTATTATTCCAGATAGAAGATTGCCGAAGCCCGCAACGCACCAACATTCTGATCGTAAATTTTAATGTTCTCTTCCAAGATTCTGCAGAAGTTATCACAATAATTTTAGAGACCCATAACGTTTAATTAGAACTTCAAACAACACGATAGGCTGCGCTACTTTTTAACAATGTTTTACATTAATTTTGTGCAATCTATAACACAGGTGATTTTTTTAGCTGTGACACATTTTGTTTAAATTAATTATGAAGTTAATTAACACCGATAATTTCAATTTATTTAACAAACAAGAGAAGTAGGAAAATTGTTTAACCAGTTGGGTTGAAAATGTTGCGTAAGAATGTATTATTTAGAGTTATGTTGACGAAAGAGCCTGGGGGAAGTTTGAAAGAGAATAAACAGTGGGAAGAAAGTCGAGTCTGCTGATAATAACGGATTTGCTTTTATCGTTTTGTTTTTATTCCCGTTCCCAAAGTGGTACCTTATTCTATTATAAACAAATTGAATTCAATTGCAATAAGTAGGCATTAGGAAAAATACAATTAATTATCACACTTGATACTGAATCTAAAAAAAGCACTAGGTATGGGTCAAGTTGTGAGTGAGCACAGGATGTTTGTTTCAGTAAACACGTTTAAACGTATTTATGTTTAATTTTTCTGTATCTATTGGGTATTCAGGTCCGGAATTCGGATTGCATTGCATTTTTAAAGAAAACTTCTTATTGTAATCTTTGTGTAGATTGTTATTGCTGCGGCGGAGGGAATATTACGTCTAACCTCGAGGCGGATGGCGGAACGGCGATTAAGCCCGCCCAACCCTAATGAAGTAACCATCGCCGAAAGTTTCCAACGCGCTTTAATGTTCTTTCGTGTTTTTATAATGACACGCTTCGCCGATGATGTCTCACACCAAACTTTCTATCGTCTAAAATGAAGGAAATTATCGGAAATTCTGACACAGTCAAAAGCTAAACAGACCAGTCGACCCTAATAACTGTTTCCAATCGTTTTCCATGTTACATCAAAATTTGGGTTAGACTTACGTATTCAGGCATTCCGATTTACCGTCGATTAAAGTAAGCCCTCTCCAGCTCTCCACTTTCTACGGGGATCACTCAACACGTCCGCGCTTCGCCACATGCAAATGCATTTTCACGGATTAGCCGTTTAGCCATCAAATGTATTTTACAGACGGATCGCACATAAACAAATACATAGATAAATAAAACCATCATTTTTCTTTTCACATTTGCTCACACATCGTTCTGGAAGCACGTACGTAATACATATTGAAAGAAATAAAAATATTTTATTGTGAAATAGAAGCCCTGTATTTGGTGCAAGCACTTTTCACGCGATGTATAATGAAATAATGTTTGTCCACAACTGTAGTGTATTTCCTTACATACACAGTAGGTACTGTTTGCGAGGGATGGGGTAAATAAATCAATACTGTAGTATATTTGTACTAAAGCAAGAAGACCGGTGGGGTGAAGAGGGTTGCATGCATGTTGTTTACAGGGGAAGAAAAACAAACAAAAAATGTTAGCTAGTTGTGAGCTCAAGCGGGGCAAAAACAAGCTCAGAGTTACGATTTTAATTCTGTCTCTTTAGACACTCTGCACATACGTGAGTAATCGTTTATTGGAAGCGTTGCTTGTTTTGAGAATAATCGCAACTTTCTAAATGTCGTTTTTAATCATTTCTCTTTTCACATGACCGCCTGTCTATGCATAATTAAAGTCATGAATACGCAAAAAATTAACAAATAGACAAAAAATATGTCTGCATTCTGAAGTTATAAATTACATGTAAATGAATGCACATATTATTTTTTAAGTTTAGTCAGTATTTAGACTGCGCAATAATTAATGCAGCGGGCTTTTCTATTTTTTAATGTTTTAAAATGTAATTAAGAGATGGAATGTATCGTGTTTCATTTAATTCAATAAGAAAAAATAATCGGATTTTTAAATGTGTTACTCTCGGCGTTGGAGCTTTTGAGAATATTTTGCAAATAGTTGGACAAATTGTTGAACGTTTGAACCCTCAACTTCGGGGGAGTTAATACACATCCGGGTGCACATGTGGAATGACGGTCGAGATACGACACAACAAAACAAACCACCTGTTGGATTGTTGTATAAATTCGTACATAGAAGCGAAATACATTTTATCAAAATTCTAATTTCGGCATAAATGTCATGTTTTCAATAGATCCTCTCTCCAATTTATCTATTTTCTCATATATTATGACATTTATTTCGTTCTATTCTATTCACTTTTTCGGCTATAACGATTATTGCCGTTTATATGGGTTTGGTCTTCTTTATGTGTTTTTTAAAAGATGCTACCCTTGTTTTTCTCGCTGATTGAAAGAAAATAAAAACGATTAGCGTGTTATTACGACTTTTTAAAGAACGCATAGTTCTTTATTTACAAAAGCATGACAACGTAAACCGACGGGTATATATTTAGAAACTAGTTTGTAAATAACCCATCTGTTTATTCGATTCATCCTGCATAAAACACTGTATATTAGGCGATTCGTTTGTGAAAAGACCTTGCGACAATAATGAGCGCATCATCTTCGTTCTTATTACATCATTGCAGATACACGTATGTGTGAACTTGTTCCAAACAATTAATGAATTGTAAATGAATTATGAAACGAACAGATCCATTCCTCGTGAGTGGTGGTAGTGTTCGCTGTTCGAAGAAGCATTGCACGAAATTTATATATCCTTAATTTTATTTTG